CTTGGAAGGCAGAAGCAGGTGGATCTCTGTGAGTTTGAGACCAGCCTGATCTACATAGCAAGATCTAGGCCAGCCAGGGCTACATAGGGAGCCCCCTATGTCTTAATAAACAAATAGATTTAGAAAAAGCAAAATAAATTCAAATCTCCGATAAATAACAGGTGAATTGTTGGTGTAAGCATGTCTGATGTGCTAGTTAATCTTGACACCCTAAGTCCAGGTCTGCACAGGAAGAATACAGAGCTGAGCATGTCTTCATGCTGACTGACGAGTCCATGGCCAGTGTGTCAGATGTCTAAAGTCACCTGAGCACACTTTCACTAGCCAAAGATTGGAAACCATGAGCACTTAAGGAATTACCATACTGGGTTGAAACAACACAAATTGAAGCCCATTGGGCAGTTTTGGAGGCTGCTGGGGAAACAAGTCCTGAGGACTCCAGGTTGCCTGAGAATTTGCCAAATTCTTGTGTGAGTAGGAACATTTTCTAAGCATATTATCGTAACTATTCCCATTTTACTGGAAACAAAAAACAATGTATAGGATATGAAATCTCTTGAATTTAGTGGAACAATCTGTACAATTGCCTTAAACAGATCAACTCATACTGTATAGACTTAAGAGGATGTAGTTCCAGAGGAAGGAACTTCATGTTCCCCTTTAAGAAAAGCCATTCCAGCCAGGTGTGGTGGCGCACGCCTGTCGTCCCAGCACTTGAGAGGCAGAGGCAGGCGGATCTCTGTGAGTTCAAAGCCAGCCTGGTCTACATAGTGAGTTCAAGGACAGCTGGGGCTACAGGGAGACCCTGCTTCAAAAAGACAAAATAAAAAATAATAAATAAATAAATAATAAATAAGAGAAGCCATTCTCAGGCTGGGGGTGGGCTCAGTAGGAGAGCTCTTGCTTGGCATTATTACCAATCAGCTGGCTGGGGTCCTTTTGCTATACTCAGAAATCACAAGTAGACAAGAGGAAGCTCTCCTAGTGTTGACAGGCCCTGGTCTTGAGTGCCAAACATTTATGGGATAGGCTGACAAACTCAGATTTACAGCTGCAAGTCTTGAGGACTAGAAGCTTACAGCTCCAGACTCTAAAAACCAGAGTCTTAAGACTTTAGGCTCTAAGTACTCAAGTTGGAGGTGTGTTGCTCTGGGTTTTGATGCCGGTAGTCCCTGGCAGCTAGGGTAATCCTCAGGTCTTAGCAGTGGCTAGCATTACTAGTCTTGGGTGTCAGGACCCTCAGCTTTATGATTTGTCAGCTCCCTGGAACCCATCTAACAATGGGACTGTAGTTTCTCACCTTTGATTTGTCACCTTCTCCAGCTTCTCTGTGCTGTTGAGTCTTTGCCTCTATCCTGTCACTCCCTCAAACTCTTGAGCCATCTTTTGTTGTTGTTGTTGGTGGTGGTGGTATTTTTTTAATGAAAAATTTTTTTTGTCTTTTTGAGACAGGGTCTCCTTGTAGCCCTAGCTGGCCTGGAACTCACTATGTAGACCAGGTTGGCTATGTATATCCATCTGACTTTGCCTCTGGAGTGCTGGGATTAAAGGCATGTGCCACCATACCAGAAAATTTCTGTGTTTTTAAATCTGAGTCTCATCGTATCAGTTTTCACTCAGCCATCAGAAGCGCCTGGATCGCCTCAGGATAAGAGAGGCCTAGTGACAGTCCCTCTCCAGGACAGAACCAGCCTTTGGAATGAGGTCTACAGAGCATTCTGCGTCTGATGTAGGAAACACAATAGGGCAAACCCTCTGGACTCCAGAAGGACCAGTAGATACACAAGTGACTGCTTCCAGGAAATGGGTCAGAACTCATAGAACAGTCATCGGGCTGAGGATACAGTTCAGTGGTTTAGTGCTTGCTTCAAATGTATAAGCACTGGATTCAACTCTTCCCCCATAAAAAATACCCAGAGGGCAAAATGGCATATGCTATGGATCCAGGATGCAGCTGGACTAGCATGTCCTCTTGGACATGATGGGTCCACATAGTTCCTAGCAAAACCTAGATGGACCTTTTGTCCTGCAGTTTGTCCTCTTGGACCCCCATCCTACCCAATCCTCACTGGAAAGCCAGAGGCTATGGAAACCAGTATGTCACTGAGTAGTCCTTGTTCCTGCTCTGGTGGAGTTATTAGTCCCCCATTGTACAAGTCACATTTGTCACAGTATTTCTTCTTGGCTGAGGTTTGGGAATCATCTTGACTCCCAAAGACCAGCCTCAGACTATCCCATAGTCTTGGAATTGTCTTAGAATTCCAACCCATCAGGAAGACTTGATTAGGGGCCCTTACTTCTATTTCTTTGTATGTCTATAGCAGTTGTAAATGAACCACCTCAGTGTTTTTGTATACCAGCAGGCCATCCCCTAGCCAGAGGGGTCAGGCCTCTTCTTGTTGCATTTTTGTTTTGAGACAGGGTCTTAGTAATGGTAATCCTCCTGTGTTGGGATTACACATATGTCCCACCATGCCCATTCCACCTCTGCCAGGCAACACAATTTTAAAAATTTATTTTTATTTTATGTGTATGAGTGATTTGCCTTTAAATGACATACGTGTAAGTGCACCACATGCATGCAGTGTCTGTGGAGGCCAGAAGACAGTGTCAGATCCCCTGGAACTGGAGTTACAGGCAGTTGTTAGCTTCCCCAGTTGATAGTTGGAAACTGAATCAGGGTCCTCTGCAAGATCAGCCAGTGCTCTTAACTACTGAGCATCTTTCCAGCCCATAAAATAGTTCTAAAAGATGAGTGTGGGGCTGGAGAGATGGCTCAGTGGTTAAGAACACTGGTTGTTCTTACAGAAGACCCAGGTTCAAATCCTAGCACCCACATTGCAGCTAACAACTGTCTGTAACTCCAGTCCCAGGGAATCAGACAGCCTCTTCTGTCCTCCTCGGGCATTGCATGACATGGGTGCACTTACCTACATGCAGGGAATACACACATACACATAAAATAAAAATAAATAATTTTTTTTTAAAGTTTAAAAAAAAAGATGGTGTGCTGGTCTATCAACAGGGCAGTGCCTGGTATACAGTGGGTGTTTAGTAAGTGCTCCCTGAATGAAGACCAATGTCGGTCTTTAGGATAAGCAACGGTGTGTGCAGGAGCAACTGATTCTGCCGGTATCTGCTCTGATTGTATTCCTTGTGGGACCATCTGAGGCATGTGGTGGTGAGGGGGTTGGGCCTGAGTCTCTGTGCCTGTGGTTTTTCTTCCCAGTGAGCCGGGCTGCCTGGAATGTCCGAGTCACCAGGAATGGGAGCCAACATCAGATTCTCAGTCTTTGGGCCCAGTGGGCTGGCTGACCTCCCTTGTCCAGCCACACCCCTAGGAGAAAAGGAGGTTGGTCCAGGGGCTCTATGTTGGCTGGCACTTGGCCAGATCACCATGAGGTCAGTTGTTTGTGTTGTCCTCATCTATTCTCTTCCTGAAGGGAAAAAGATTTTAAGTGGGAAAGCAAGGGGCAGGGGACTAGAGGCTCCACAGTACAGGATGGGGAGGAGATGGAGTGGCTCAGGCTCTTGTCTGTGGGAGGGACAGGTGGCTTGGTTAGCAGCCCAGACAGAGTGCTTGGCTTGAGTTCTCATCTGTGGCTATTTCCTGCTAAGGATGTGGTGGCAGGGGAGCAGGAAGGTGGTGGGGGTAGCAAACGGACCTCTGCTGCCCATGGTGGTTCCATTGCCCTGAAGTACAGAGAGCAGGATGGGGGAAGTTGCCCCATCTTCCTTCTAGTATCTTTCCCAGTCCTCCACCTGGAACCACGTCCCCTCTCATATTTAGGATCTCTCATTTCCTGAGCACTTTCCCTCTTTGGTGAGAGACAGTAGAGAAGGAAACCTGGGACAACCATGGGAGATTGGGGAAAAGAGACAGCGTTAACAGAGGTCAAGCCTCCAGAGTGTGGGGTAGAGACAGACATTGTTGCAAGTGAGGAACCAGTACTAATGGAAACCATTTAGAAAAACAGGAGGAGAAGCCAGAAGGGGCGGGTTCAGGGTTGGCCTACTGGGTGGGACTTGTTTTTCCAGAATGAGAGACCCAGGGACAAGCAAGGGTGAGAGCACGGTGGGGGGGGGGGGCAACTTTAAGCTCTGCCTGGCCCAAATCCTGGAGAGGAGATGGCTTTATTAGATCCTGAAGGGCTTCCTGTGTCCTCACAGTTGGTCCTCTCTGTTGTCACCTCCCTTCCAAGAGCCAGCTGGGCTGGGCTTCTGGCTTATCTGAGGACTTGGGGAGCAGAGCCCATCATTCTACCCAAATGGGCAGCCTAAACTGGCTGAGGGTTTCTGTGGTTGTTTGGATTCTCTTTCTTTCTTGTCCTGAGGTTTGCTTAACTACCAGGGGTGGGCTGGTACACAGTGCTGCTCTGTTATTTCCCATTTGTTTATATGACTTTGTAAATTTTCCCAGAGCTTCAAATTTGTGCTTTCTTTTGGGAGAGTTCCACTTTTCTTTCTTCTGGGTGGGTTCCCAGATCACAGTAATCCAGGTTGTCCTGTTGGTGGGCTTCTCCTGTAGCCAGGCCATGAGGAAAGTCTGCCCAATGCTGTACTCAATGCCAAGAGGTCCTACTGCCCACCTCCTTGGTTGGTTGTTCTTGATTCTAGGAACCTGGCCACAGTGCCCATCATGCTGTCCTCAGGGAGCCCACCATGGGCATGGTAAGGTCGCCTCAGCTAAAGGTAGAGCTGGAAGAGCCACCTGATGTGGCAGGAAGAATACCAGGATAGAGAAGGCAGCCCAGGCGACCTGTTTGCTCATGTGAGAGAATGCCAAAGCAGGGGTTGCTGGTTATTCACCCCAGAACACCAGCCCTGCCGGAGCTCTGAAAGCCTCCCAGATGATTGGCACACCCATGGCCTCAACAGTCCTCAGACTCAGGCCTTCTCATCTGTCCAAGGACTGGGCTACTGCCCCTCCCCAGGGCTGACCAGTGACAGGGCCTAAGCCTCTGCTCAGACCCTCCCACCGTCTGGGACAGGGTGGCTGCAGCTCTTCAGGGCAGCCAAGGATGGGGGAGGCCTAGCAGCAAAGCAGCAGAGTGGGCGGGGCACAGACCCGGCCCAGGGCTCCGTGATGTCAGCGGGAGCTGGCAGGGAGAGGGGGGTCGGCTGTTTTTCTGGAGTTAGAGTTGTGTGAGACAAAGCACAGCACCGTTCATGCAGGCGCCATGGAACTGCTGTCCTGCGTCTTTCTGTGGAAACTGGTGCTTCTTCAGAGTAAGTGTTTGAGAGTGGGACTGGGTGTGGGACAGCAAGTGGGCAAACTTCTGTTTCTGGCAAACCCCCAGCTGAGCTTGGGCTGGGAGGGGTGAAGAGCCCTTATGAGGAGAACAAGGTTGAGTGCCTCAGAAACAGCAGCTCACCTAGGGGAGCATGAAGCCTTCAGGTACTCTAGCGGAGATTCCCGAGGGCCTAAAATGGGAAAATTGTGGCCAAGGGTGCTTCCTGTACCCACACTTTGTGGGTCCAGGACCAGCCCCTCAGGCTGCACTCCTCCCAGATGTGGGCAGGGAGTAAGTGGGGCTGAGAACTAGGGGGCTTGCAGAATTCGTTCCAACCCCTCTTCAGGGCCCTCAGGCCCGCCCAGGCTGGCCTGCTGACCCAGCACATTCCTCTCAGAAGCTGCGGGCACTCAGCCACTTCCCTGCAGCAGTGACTTGGGTCTGTGCTGGCTGACAGGGGCTCATTCCTCATGTCTCACTGTTGGAACTGAAGGCCCTTGCCCTTGGGGAAGGCCAGCAGAGGTCTACACCCAGCCAGGGGCTACAGAACAGAGCTGAATGCCTGAGGTCTAAAGGTGCCTGAGGGCTGGTGGCAGATGCACATACCACTTTTGGTTGGCTCAGTTTCAGGCTAGAGTTCTTTGGGTGGACCAGGTGCTATGATGTGGCCATGGCTACTTCAAGCACACACTCCAGAGCCAGCCTACAAGGAGACACATCCTTCCCCACTGCTAACTGCTGGATCTCTGGCTTCCCACTCTCCAGAGCTGTCTGCATAGTCAGGCCAGGTGGCACTGAGGGTGAGCACAGCTGTGTGAGAGATCCAGGAGCCCTCACTCTTAATTCTGCAGCTTTACTTCCATTTGTTAAGTGGGCATCATGGCAACAAACTGCCATGACTGCTAGAGGCCCAAGTCGCCATCTAACTGATCGGTCCTGGGGTGGAAAGGTGGGAAATGCCTTAATTTTCCTTCCCTTCCAGGTCCTGCACTCCTCTTGTCCTCAGGTTAGTATCCACCCTCCTCCAAGCTGTGGACCAGCCCCCTCAGGTCTCTCCTAACCCATCTGTCTTCCATCTTGCCAGTCCCACCCATACCTGCACCCCTGTGTTCCCTTTGCCACTGACTCTCTATTCCCCACAAGGGCTCTCGGGGCTCGCTGCGGCTGGCAGCTCTGTGGTGTCTGAGTCTGCAGTGAGCTGGGCAGCCGGAGCCCAGGCTGTGCTACGGTGCCAGAGCCCGCGCATGGTGTGGACCCAAGACCGGCTGCACGACCGCCAGCGCGTGGTCCACTGGGACCTCAGTGCTGGCCCGGGCAGCCAAGGGCGCCGACTGGTGGACATGTACTCGGCTGGCGAACAACGCGTGTACGAACTGCACGACCACGGCCGCCTGCTGCTATCGCCTTCTGCCTTCCAGGACGGCAATTTCTCGTTGCTCATCCGCGGTATGGGGTGGAACCATGGTGGGGGTTGGAGCCGTGGCAGGGGTTGAAACCTGGTCCAGGGGTGGGGCCATGAAGGACGAAGAGTCGCACCAGCTGAGGTTCTTCTTGTGGCGCAGCGGTGGAGGAGGGCGACGAAGGGGTGTACACCTGCAGCCTGCACCACCACTACTGCCACCTGTACGAGAGCCTTGCTGTGCGCCTCCAGGTCACTGAGGATCGTGAGTGTGTCCTTCTTGCCCCACCACCCCACGTGGCCGTTCCCGCCTCTTCCCGCTTCTGACCGCCTCTTCCATCCGCAGCCCGCTTAGCACGTGAGTACTGGGACGGCGAGAAAGAAGTGCTGGTGGTGGCGCGCGGCGCGCCCGCCCTGCTGACCTGCGTGAACCGTGCTCATCTATGGACCGACCGCCACTTGGAGGAGGCGCAGCAGGTGGTTCACTGGGACCGGCAGCCACCTGGGGTGCCACACGACCGAGCCGACCGCCTGCTTGACCTGTACGCTTCCGGGGAGCGCCGTGCCTACGGGCCTCCCTTCCTGCGGGATCGCGTGGGGGTGGACACCGACGCGTTTGCGCGTGGCGACTTCTCCCTACGCATTGACGCGCTGGAGCTGGCTGACGAGGGCATCTACTCTTGCCACCTACACCACCACTACTGCGGCCTGCACGAGCGCCGGGTCTTCCACTTGCAGGTCACAGAGCCTGCTTTCGAGCCACCTGCTCGGGCCTCGCCTGGCAACGGGTCTGGTCACAGTAGCGCTCCAGGCCCAGGTGTGTGCTCAGCCTGTCGTCCGTCCCGTCGGTCCGTCCGTCCCCCCTCTCCAGGGGAGAGACCCTGCTGAGGCCTAGGGTGCTGAGCAAGGTTTCTGATGCTGGTCCCTTGCCTGTAGATCCCACGCTGGCACAAGGCCGAAGTGTCATCAATGTCATAGTGCCAGAGAGTCGAGCACACTTCTTCCAGCAGCTAGGCTATGTGCTAGCCACACTACTGCTCTTCATCTTGCTGCTCATCACCGTGGTCCTCGCTACCCGCCATGGCCATGGCGGAGGTGAGGCTAAGCACTTGGGAGAGAGGGTCCCAGACTCGGCCAGGACAGTGGGGCTGACCCAACACCTCTCTCTCTCCTCACAGGATGTAAGACCTCAGACAAGAAGGCTGAGAAATCAAAGGGGTGAGTGTGTCTTCCCAGAGCTCCCTCCAGGCCTGCCTCAAACCCCACCTCCCTAACTGCCACCCCCTTCCAGGAAGGATGTGAACATGGTGGAGTTTGCTGTGGCCACAAGAGACCAGGCTCCTTATAGGACTGAGGACATCCAGCTAGGTAGGGGTGGGGGGCACAATGGTCATGGGGAAGTGCACCTCTGGGTGGGACTCATTCTTCTCTCCCAATCAGATTACAAAAACAACATCCTAAAGGAGAGGGCTGAGCTGGCCCACAGCCCCCTGCCTGCCAAGAACGTGGATCTGGACAAAGGTGAGCACTGAGAAAGACTCCTATCACCTCCTGATCCCATACTCAACTCTACCCACTCCCAGTATCCCATGAACAGGAGATCCCTGTCACTTCTGCCGAGAAGTCCCTAGGAAGTCATGCCCAATATCTGCCCTGAATTTCCCACTGGGATTAAGGGGCAGACAGCCAACACCAGCCATTTCCTTGACTTCCAGAGTTCAGGAAGGAGTACTGCAAGTAAAGGGACCCTGAGCTGCTGGCTGGGCCAGCAGCTCTGTCTCAAAGGACACTTCCCTGACCTTCACATGGCTCTCCGGGATCCTTCCCAGCGGCTGGTCCCGTTTTTCTAGAAACCTGGCCTGAACCGGGCAGAGTGGCTGCATGCACTCTGCTCTTCCAAGAATTACCCTCATCCTGGTGAGCAACCGTGGGTTCCCTGACTATGGTGTAGTATGGTTGCTGCCTTATAGCCACTGCTGCTTACTGGTGGCTCTTGCCTTCTACTTTGGCACAACCGAGATGCTTTGTTGATGTGCACCAAACCCTCAGTTCCTCCTGGCCTCTTCCTGATAGGGGCAGGAAGACACTTCAAGTTTCCAGTCAAGACTCCTAGTTGCCTAGTTGTACAACTCTTAGTGTACCCCTTGTCCAGGGGAGCCCCAGGGTCTTTCTGGGCTGCGCCATGCCTATGCATTGCTTAGAATCTTACTGCCATCTGTCTGACTCATGGACCCTTCTTACTGCTTTGGGCCACTTGGGGCTGGCCCATGGCCCTTTTTCTGCTTCTGACCCCTTTCTGTAGCATGCCTTCTAAGAGTCACCTTGACAGTCACTGGGCACCATGTGACTTTTGACCTTGACACCCCTCCCTGGGCTGGTGTATGGGATTGGGGCCCCAATTGGCTTGTGTTTTGGCTGAAGATGGGGTGGAGAAGTTGTGAAGAGCGTTCTGGGTGGCCTGTGCTGCCACATCAAACAGCCATCATTTGTTCTTGCGGGAGGAGTTTTTATGTCATAATAAAGGCTACATTTGATTTTTAGTCTTGGTCTCCTGCTTCCCTCTGTTCATCTGGGGAACCACGTCTGCGCCTCGGGAATCTTTCCTCACCTTCATTTGTGTACCACTGCCCTTTCCGACCCCCTTGAATTTTCCATTCATAGACTTTCTGTCATGTTTGGGGATAAGATGTCCTGGGGCCAGTTCTCCATGGTGAAGGGGTTTCAGTTCCTCTTGCAAGCGTATGTGTGGATAAGAAGGAGGAGGGTGTAAAAAGACAGAAAGGGAGACTGGACAGAGAGGGAAATGGTGTTGGTCCACTTCTTTGAAAATCAGCTACCAAGATGGGGTAAAAGGAAGAAACAAGGCTAGGCAGGCAGGCTCCCTGAGGATACAGGTCTGAATGCAATGGAGCCAAAGGAGTCTTGGGTAGAAAGAACCCCAGGAAGCAGGGTCTGGCCAATAGGATCAGGTGCTGGTTCCCAGATACTAGGCCCCTAGGGGCTAGTCATGGCTGGGCACTGACTAGGTGGCCACAGCAGACTCAGGGGGTGGAGGTGAGGGAAGAAACTGAGAGAAGGCACAGACGTGTTTCCCCACTCTTTTTTAAAAAAACCTTTATTTTAGATATATGAGTGCCTGTGTGTGTCCACATGTACACCGTGGAGCATATGGTGGTCAGAAGACAACTTTTAGGAGTTGGCTCTCTCCTTCAATCATGTGAGTTCTGGGAATTAAACTCCGGGTGCTAGGCTTGGTGGCGATGCCCTCCCTTTTTTTTCACTTTTTCTTTTTGAGACAGGGTCTCCCTGTAGTCCCAGCTGTCCTTGAACTCAAGAGATCAGTCTGCCTCTGCCTCACGAGTGCTGGGATCAAAGGTGTGTGCCACCACTCCTGGCCTGATTTCATATTTTAATCAGTTTTTATGCATTGATTTTCTGTGTATGTGTGTATAAAGGTAGGTGGATGAATACCACGGCATAAGTGTGGAGGTCAGAGAACAACTGTGGGAGCCTGTTTGCTCTTCCTCAGGTGACCTTTAGCCTCTATCATGTGGATCCTGAGGACCAAACTCATATCAAGTTTGAAAGCAGGCACCTTTACCTGCTGAGTCATCTAATTGACCCTTTTTCCTCACTTTTGGCCCCCTGCAATGCTCTCCAAGAAAAGTGGGGATTGGAAAGGGTGGCAGTCACCCACAATGACCCCAGTGGTCTGCTGAAGTGTGACTTGAGGATGTACCTCTCACTCCAATGGCCTCTGGTTCCATCACTGGTCATATGTCAGTGGACAAGGCCACTCCTAGAAAAGCACTGGCCTCACACCCACTCCTGCAAGGACCCATCCTGCCCCTATCAGCATCAGTACCAGGATTCCTATCATGTCCCTGGCTTCTAGCTCCTTCTCCTACAATTTGGTCTGTCAGGTAGGTACCAAGAGCAGCTGGACTGGGAACCCCTGCATCTGAGTGCCTTACACCAACAGATCAATAGCAGTTTGCTTCTGGCCTGAGGGGCTTTCAACGGAAGAACTGGTTTCTTTCTCTCTTAGCAGACGCTCTGAGGGCATCCCGCTAGGCTTCCTTCGGGTTACCTCTGCAGAGACCCAAGGAAGAGGGTTAACTGCAGGCTCAGGGAGTATGGATGTCCAGGATATCAGGCCCCTAGTGTGTCTGTCAGCTTGGGCTGACTTCTGTAGCCGTCACACATTCAGTGCTTTCTGTCCAACCTCTGGGTCCTCCAAAGCAGTGGCAGGGTCTTGCTTTGTGCTGGCCTAGTGCCTGGGGATGGTTCTAAGTCACAAGGTGTACTCCTTCCCCCATCACTGACCAGCATCCTGCACCCTCTCCCACCCTTCTCACTGACCAGTGAAGGACTCCCTCTAATGGCCTTAAAATTTCATTCTGGTGTAGAGGAAAGCCTTCAGCCCAGTAAGGCAAGTGGCTGAACTCTTCACAGCTAGAGGGGAGTCCTGGTATTCCTTGACCTGGGGAGGGCACCCGGCTAGAGCTACAACGTCCAAGGCAAAATCCCTTTGACTTCAGGCGCAGCCGGGGCGCCTGAACACCTGTGCACACAACCAGCATTCAGTTTCCTGAAGCCCTCGTGGGACCAGACAGTGTTGGCGCGGGGCCGCAAAGGATCTCTCGCTGCTTGAGGCTAGACATAAGCAGCTTCAGATTCTTGTAGAGCACCTCGCAGCCTGCCGGAATGACCAGCGCCTCCCGACTCTGTGTATCTCGGAGGCTCTGGGATTGGATCCAACACCCTTAACTGGCCTGGCCCCGCAAGGCTCCTCTGCTCCGCAGCGGATGTCAGGGCTCCAGGGGCGCGACTTCCTGAGGGTGCCTCCGCCTTTCTGGAGCAGGGCGGGCCCATCTACCCACCGGCCGAGAACCAGACACCCGGGGGACCACAGCATCTCGTCAGTTTGGGAACTGCGACAGAGCGCAGGCTAGGGCAGTGGGAGCTCGCAGCCCCGCCCGAAGCCTGTAATCCGCCCCCTTCGCCCCGACACTGACCGTGGCCCCGCCCCGCCCCCGCCCGGCGCCTGCGCAGCCCCGCCCACCCTCC